CCATCCTAAAACTGAGAAGTTACTGTATACTCTGATTGCTTACAAGCTACACCATATGCACCTCTGTGTACTTAAAGGAACTGTGCCTCAGATAATGCTGTCTCTTTGATTGAGGAGTCATCACATACTTTGCTTATAAGTTACATCATATGCACCTCTGTGCAGTTAAAGGGACTGTGCCTCAGGCAATGCCATTTGTTTGATTGAGAAGTTACTGCATATCCTGACTGAATACAAGAAAAAAAGAACCACAGCGCCCAGGACCACCTTCCCAACACCCTCTTTACGTGAAATGCAGCTGTACACAGGTATAGAACCACAAAATTTCTTCAACTTAAAAAACAGCGCAAAAACACAAAAACAATCAGTATATGTGAAATACCTTATCCTATAAATAATGTTAATACAAATATTACAATTTTATATGTGTCAAAAAAAAACAAAAAAAATCCAATGACACATACAAAAAACAAAAAATCAGTGACACATACAAAAAAAAAAAGTCCAGTGACACATACAAAAAAACGTCCAGTGACAAAAAAAACTTATATTTTCATAAAATTCTTCAGTGCCAATAGTAATCCTTCCACCATCCACCAGTGCAAAACCAACATGAACTGCACTCACCAGATATTTGGTGAGTATAACGCCTTTCAGGATTATTTAGGGCTCCTGGACCCCCTTTATAACCTCCAAATATTGCCACCTCTAGGATATAGAAAAAATCCTCCGCTTACTCCCCTCGCCGACTCCACCAGATTCCAGGAAGAAGAAAAAAATCTAATAGTGTGATACCGTTATAACCTTCAATCTTAGTTAGCTTTAAACCAGACCACTCACATTTTAAAAGGTAATAACCAGCATTTATTTGTATATAAAAACACATTTTCCACAGATCCTGTAGCAAAACCTCACAGCCAGGTACACAGCAGGATGACAGACCTCAGAAACAGCCTCCTCCACTAAGCAAGATGGCCCCTTGGAACGCACCGCTCGGCGTGCGTTCCACTCACCGGAAATGACGCAGGACACCAGGACTGCCAGCCGGAAGTACGTCAACGCGTTTCGCCCCACCCACAGGGCGTTCTCAAGACCAAGCATATCCTGACTGCTTATAAGCTATACAACGTGCACCCCAGTTCACTTAAAGGGACTGTGCCTCAGATAATGCCATTTGTTTGATTGAAAAGTCACCACATACTTTGCTTACAAACCACACTATGTACACCCCTGTGCATCTAAAGGGACTATGCCTCAGATAATCCCATTTCTTTGATTGAGAAGTCACTGCATATCCTGACTGCTTATATGTACATCAGCTGCATATTTTATATTATTTTATTTTATATTTATATTAGCTAATCCTCACTGTAAATACATCACTAAAGAGAATCTATATATTGCCTTACACACATGTAACAGAACACTTGGTAACGGGCGGACTGACCATTTGGAAACTCGGGCACTGCCCGAGGGCCCGGGGGTCAGTAGGGGGCCCCATGAGATGCCCCTGGTACCTTTTTCATAGGCTTTTTTGAATTTGGGGAAGGACACAGGGGCCCCATGATCCCCTATTGCCCAGGGGCCCCATGAGTTGTCAGTCCACCCCTGCTTGGTAATTTCTACTAACGCTCCATTCACACTTCTGCAACTTGTCATGCGACTTTGGACACTCAAGTCGCATTACAAGTTACACCCACATGCTTTTCAATGACAACCTTTCAAATATGTGCGGAGTTCCAGTGAAACTAAAAAAATAAAAGCAGCAACAAAAACTGTAGCTGCTGACTTTTAGAAAACAGCCACTCACCTGTGCCTGGATCCTGCGGTGTCCTCACCACAGCCTGTTTCCCTGGCCATCCTGTGTTCCCAATACCGGCATCTTCAGTGTGGCCAGCAGGCAGTAACAGCTTGCGGGCTTCACAGCCGGGTGCTCACTGCGCATGCATGAGTAACTCTGCGCTTTGTGATATGTCATATGTCCCAGAAGACTACAGGGAGGGAGGACAACTTCCACTTCTGATCGCCTAGGCGATCACAGCGGAAGTGGGAGCGGATACCTGTCAATTTCTGGTACTCGCTCCCCAAAGGTGCCAATCTTTAACAGGGAGTGGGGGACCATTCCTTAAAGCAGAACTTCCCTTTTTGGATGGAGATCTGCTTTAAAGTCGCAGCAACTTTAAGAAGGTTCCTGCACTACTTTGGTCTGACTTTCATGCGACTTGAGTGCCAAAGACTACAATGTAAACCCTCAAAAATCACATGAAAGTCACACCTGATTTTTATACATGTGCCAGTTGTGTAACAGTTGTCTATTATTCTGGTCAAAGACAAAGTCACATTCAAGTTTCACCCAATCAAAGTTGCACTCGAACGTGTTCTATTTTGGAGTCACACTAGTGTAAATGGATTCATGCACACTTTTACAACTTCGATGCAACTTAGATGTAACTTTGGATGGGTGTGACTTGGATGTGACTTGTCTCTCTGCAAAGTTGGACCTACTCTTGCACAACTGTTGCATGTAAAACATTCAGGTGTGACCTTTTTCCAGCAAGGAGGGTTTTATAGGTGGGGAAAGTGTGGACCATGTTGGTCAACTTCACACATGCCTAAGAAAGTTACCACTTTTATGTCCCACAAAACTTACATACAGTATACCATTAAACCTTTTATTACCTGCCAGTCTAAATATGTTACTTATATACTGATGTGCACTTGTGGATATCAGTATATAGTTAGAACAACCCACAAACTCACTAAGAGAATTAGCGAACATATTACCAGTAATAAAAAAGGATACCCCAAACACAGTATATCCAACCATTTTAGAGTGGCACATAATAAGGACCCTTCCTACCTGTCCTTTGCTATAGACAAAATAGATAAACACTGGAGAGGCTCACATATGATCAGGGAAATTTAAAAAAAATTAAACTCAGTGGATTTACGAACTTCAAACTTTATCACCAGCAGGGTTAAATGTAGAAATTGACCTGAACTGTTTTTTTAACCAATTTTTAGGGACCTATACTATTAGCCCCATTTATGAGGTATAAGGAATTATCATCTAGTCTACCTATTGTATAGATGGATGCCTTTTGCATTATATTTAGAGTTCCCCTTTAAGGCCATTACTGTATGGGGGGGGGGGGGGGGGGTTTGGTTTGGTATCATATCCCAAGATTATTTATTAGTGACTCTAAAACCAGGCAATGGGACTATTAAATTTAGTTTCATCCAGTCTGAGTTTCCCCTTAAGGGGGATTACCTTTATTGAAATGCCACAAAAACACCTCCACCAGTGCCACACACATCACCACATTGAATTACAACTCACCTAACTTCAAGTGAGTAAAAGACCTTTTAAGATTTTAGGGAGGTCGATCTTGAACTCCCATACTATATTTATCTATTATCCCTTTTTATATATAGATAGGTACCCATATTCCATAGATTGGGTACCCCCAATTCAGAAACATGGCTCTTACTCAGGGCTAATCAACCTGAGTGGACTGTCCTCTATTAGATTTGTAATTATATAAGACAGCTTCATTGAACTTGGGAAAGCAAATTCCCCCTTTAAAAAAAGTTATTTTTGCATTTAGATTGCTATCTATTATCCCTTTTTTATAGACCGTATCTAGAGTACAGCTTACAGTATGTAACATCCTTTATTCTGGGAGAATTGGTCTGAGTGGCTTGTCCCCTTTGAGACCAATTTTTATTTCCATCATGCAGTTTAGTAAAGCTTGGGAGAGTATATTCCCCTTTAATTAGTTTTTCCAGCATAGAGAATGACACAGAACAGTTTTTAAACTGTATGTAAAATACAGCTGAAAGTATGCAAACCTGACAGAATTTATGACTCCCTTGGGAATATACTGTGTGGGTTTAACATCTTTTTTTAATATTCCGTTAAAAAATTTAGGCATTATTGGTAAGCGGGGTTTTTTCCCTTTAAGAACCCCATCGCTGTATTTTATGCACTAAATTTACTTTATGATTTAATTTTAAGTTTCATTTACTAGCCCAAGCATATCCGGCATTTGTAAGCTGTATTCAGCAATGTTGCAGGTAATTATGGATAGATTCGGGCAAGTAATGAAGTGACATAGCTGCAGCAACTGATTTAATCCCTGCTGTGTCTAAATACCATCTCCAAAATGACAGATCTTGCACTTCCTGATGGCGACCTATTGATTGAAACCGGTCGAGGTTTGACGACACCACTTCTGTTGATGTAATTTCCGCCCTTTGGAACACACGCGGGAACTCTGTGGCCATCTTGGTTCCTATTCACAGGCAGCAAGGCTGAATACACTGAGTGCCAGGTTATGGGCACTTTGCTTGTGAGTTTTATTCTTATAATTTCTCCCCATCATTACAGTTTTTTTATGGTTTTACACTATGGGATGTTTGCTTTTGTTTCTGTTCACATGCTGAAACTTGGTTTACTGCCTGGGAGGAGAGGAGAAAGTTTAAAAAGGCGCTTTTGAAACTACACTTTCATTTATATCCATGCTGGTCTTCATCCTAATGGTTACTATCAGCCAGATCGCATGATTCTTAGGAATTAATATTGGTGCCATTCTAGCCATCACGTATTGGTTTGGTCCCTAACCATGCGCTTAAGACCAACCTAGAAATTGGTGGTCCACGGCTAATGGTGAGTGCACATCCATGTGGGGCACTGATTGAGCACAGAGGGGAACCTGTCATTTTTTTTTTTTTGCACGAAGTTCACCAATTAGTATTCAACACCCGGGCACTTTATTTTTTCGAATTGGGACTGAATGTTACTATTATTCACTTTGTATATGTGAAGCAATATTACTCATGTATTGTCAAATTTAATGCACTTAATTTATGCGCGGTCCACGTGGTATTTTGATGACTTTCATGCAACTTTTGAGGGATAACATTGAAGTCTATGGCCCCCAAGTTGCGTGAAAGTCGGACCAAAGTAGTGCATGAACTACTTTGAAGTTGGTGCAGCTTTAACCTCCATGGAGGTATTCCTGAGTGTAGCTCTGGGTAAAGTTTCAGTACCAAAAGCGGTAACCCCGAGTTACACTCGGGAATACCCTGCAGCATTGCTGCGGGATCTCTTCTGCACTTACCTTGTCCTTCGCTCCCGCGATGTCCCTCCTGCAGTGTCCTGGCAATGTCCTCCGGCCGATGCCGGCATCTGTCATCTGGGTTCCGTTCCCTGCGAGCGTTGGGACGTACAGGGGACGGAACAGCAGGAAATTAAAAAATGTGAAAAAGTGACATTCACTAACTACAATAAAATCACATAGTAAAACATTACTGAATCAAAGCATTTCACATACATTTTGTCCCGAGTGCTTTGTCCTGTGCCCTGCCTGCATTTTTACTGTTCTTTCTGGCTCGAAACTGAGAAACGTCCATGGCGTCCAAAAAGCGTCCCTTTAGGTCAAAAGCAATTTTAAACCAGGTAGAGAACAGCGATAGTAAATCAGAACCACTTGCAGAATTGAGTGATAATGATTCGTGGGGAAATTTGTCATGAGACACTGAAAACGATTTTGCGACTTTGCTCAGTGATGTGCGAACTTGGCGATATATATTAAATTTCAATGTTTTTGGTTTGATTATATTATTGAATTAAATGTATTATTATTATATTATTATTTTTTATGATTATTTATTAAATTATAATTTATGATTTCGTGTTTCAAATTTTACCATACCCGGGATGTTTACTAGACTCTTGTTTGGACAGATTTCAGTGAGTTATTCCTAAAAATTACAGGCCTACAATAAAAAAATACACATTTCCATGCAAAAAAATGTACCGCTATGAGCACAGAAATATGGACATAATCAGACTGCTAGGGAGGCTACAAGATAAGTTCACCTTTGGGAACATGTTACACGTTCCACCCACTTTTAGGTTGGAACATGTAACATGTTCCCAATGCTGTACCCCCCCCCCCCCCCCCGCCCTGCGACAGAAGTATGGGGAGACGTTTTGCCGTACTATCTGTCAGATTTGAAAACAGCGCGGCTGTGCGAGGCTCCGCCCACATGGCCACCTCATTCATTCACAGAGTTCTGTGAATGAATGAACTGATAGTCCTGACAGCCTTAGCAACTGTCAGCTTGTAATTTTCAATGAACTACCACAGCGCTGTGGAGCACTGTGGTAGTTCATTGATTCTTCCTGTCAGTATATCTGCTTGCTTTTACACCCCATACCGGCAAACAGATATAATGACAGATCTGCAGGAGACTTGCATGCTTTCCAGGCTCCTGCTGACAAAAATAATAAATGCACATTTTTTTACCTGCAAAAGGTACACTTTTTATTTTTGTGCAAAAGGTACACTTATCCTTTAAGCCATACACATACGAATGGTTATCATTGGAAAACATGGGGTACAAATTGTCTTGCAAGGTTGATGTCCAAAGTCTCATGACATGTCGCACAAGTGTAAAAGGGGTCTCACACACACAGACGCAGTGAGCTGAAGATGTATGACAACTCCTGTAACCATTTTGAAAATTCTGCACTAAATCCATTTTATAAAATACAAGGTATTAGAATTGTTGTCAAAAATATAGAAATAAGACAAATTACCAGCAGTGAGCCCCTAATAAATTCAGCAGCTCTGGGTGCTGGACGGGATGGGCCATAGTGACCACCTGACACAGTCTGGCCAGTAATGTCATATGCAGGACTGACAACTCATAGGGCCCCTGGGCAATGGGATCATGGGGCCCCTGTATCCTTGCCCAAACTTAAAAAAGCCTATGAAAAAGTTACCAGGGGCATCTCATGGGGCCCCCTACTGACCCCGGGCCCTCGGGCAGTGCCCCAGTTTCCAAATGGTCAGTCCGCCCTTGGTCATATGTGAACTCTGCTAGGTAAACCTTGAGATCCCCCCACCCCCCAGGGGTTGTCATGTGGTCTGCTTGTCATGTGGAAGGTGATTTGGCCTTTTGATCTCCTATTATTACACTTCTGTATTGTTTTAACATTTTCTTTTCATCTCTAAAGAAAAAAAATGATCTAATTCTAGATTGCTGGATATTTCCTCTGCCAAAAGAAACATTTCATGAAAATGTGAGAATTTTTTTACTTAGAGAGGCCCAGTCACCAACTTACAAAATGCAGGTTAAAGCACCAAAAGTTAAGTATTTTGAATACTAACTTTCAGTGTTTTTTTTTTTCCTTTTTATAAACTATTTTTATTCACTTGTGATATACTTTTAAACTTGCTAGATAATTTTACTATTTCAGGAAGAGTCTATTCCCTAGCATGGGCTCCTCCCTCTTTGCATGTCATAGCTCTCTCCTCTTCTAGAAGTGTCTACTTTTTCTGTGCTGGCCCAGCTACTCTGCTGCTTTCCTCACCTCCCTATATTATTATTATTATTATTATACAGTATAAAGCGCCAATAGTTCGCTCAGCGCTGTACATTACAAAGGGGGACAGAACATGTGACAGAACAACAACAATACAATGCAAAACATGAGGGGATCGAGGGCCCTGCTCCTTGGAGCTTACAATCTAGGAGGGAGGGGATAGTGGTACAGGAGGAGATAGCTGTGGGGGATGGAGTGGTAGGAAGAGTGGAGGAGGTCGGCAAGTTAGCAGGGGGTGGGGTAGGCTTCCCTGAAGAGATGAGTTTTCAGGGTGCGCCTAAAGGAGAGGAGAGTAGGTGATAATCTGATGGGTTGGGGCAGGGAGTTCCAGAGGATGGGTGACACCCTGGAGAAGTCCTGGAGGCTGGCATGGGAGGAGGAGACCAGGGAACTAGAGAGAAGGAGGTCTTGTGAGGAGCGGAGTGTGTGTGTTGGGTGGTACTTGGATATTAGGTCAGTGATGTAGTTCGGGGCAGTATGGTGGACAGCTTTGTACGTCAGTGTTAGGATTTTGAATTTGATCCGTTGCGCAATCGGAAACCAGTGGAGGGATTGGCAGAGGGGGGTGGCGGAGATGGAGCGGTTGGAAAGGTGAATGAGTCTGGCAGCGTATTCAGGATGGACTGAAGCGAGGATAGCCTATTAATATATAATATTAATATAACCTATTATGTAGCTGACAGGATAGGAGAGATTGGAGTAGTGTGTCATCTAAATGAAGGCTCTGAGTTAACGACGTTTGTTTGGGGGGGGGGGGGGGGGGGGGGGGGGGGGGGGGGGGGAGGGGTGTGATGTAATTTTAGTTTTTGGTTTAAATAAAGACAAAATGTAAAGCAATGTTTTTAGTAAACACAGACCGCTTTCAACAAAGTTTAGCAATATTCTGTTTTTATTTGTACTTGAATTATTAACCCCTTGCCCTCCAGAGGATTTATCCCCCCTTCCTGCCCAGGCCATTTTTTGCGATATGGCGCTGTGTTACTTTAACTGACAGTTGTGTGGTCATGCAACGCTGTACATAAATTAAATTTACATCCTTTTTTCCCATAAATAGAGCTTTCTTTCCGCGGTATTTGATCGCCTGTCCGTTTTTTTTTTTTTTTCGCTACAAACAAAAAAGGCCGACAATTATGAAAAAAAAATCTTTTTGACTTTTTGCTATTAAACATGTCCAGTAAAAAAATTAAAAAAATCAAATTACATCATACATTTAGGCCAAAATGTATTCTGCTCCATGTTTTTGCTAAAAAAAAATCCCAATACATGTAAATTAATTGGCTTATGTGAAAGTTATAGTGTTTACAAATGGCTGTATATATACTAGAATTTAAAAAAAATATTTTTTTTTACTAGTAATGGCGGCAATCAGCGACTTATAGCAGGACTGTGGGACTGTAGTGGGCATTCTGACACTGGGGGGAACTGACTTGGTGTCACTGACATCCCCAGTGACACCAGTACAGTGATCAGTGCTAATAAAAAGCACTGAACCTGTACTAATGGCACTGGGCAGGAAGGAGTTAACATGTGGGACAATCAAAGAGTTAACTGTGTGCTGTTTTACTGTGAGGCTGTGCGTTTATTTCACTGTAAGCACACACTGCTTTGTATAAAGCAGCGTGCAGGAGCTGTCAGGGGAGAGATCTGTATTGTTTGCATACAGGTCTCTCCCCCGTCGGAAAACCTCGGAGATTGCCAGGGACCTGGTGATTGACAGCCGAGGCTGCGAATGGCGACACGGGTAGAGCGCACGCCTCCTACCCAGAACTGAAAATTCATGTGTATATATACGTGATTTTGCGCACCTGTCCCTCTCTGTAGCAGTATTTCTGCTATAGGGCAGTGCAGACGCGGTTAAATCAAGACACCTTTTAAAGCAATGTTTAGTAAACACAGACAACATTCAAAAAAGTTTAGCAATATTTTGTTTTGTTTTTTTGTACTTGAATTATTACTACTGTGCATACCATAAAATATGTAATATCTGTACATAGTTTGTATATTCTCCCTGTGTCGAGCACTCCGGTTTCCTCCCAAACTCCAAAGACATGCTGGTAGGTTAATTGGCTCCTGTCTAAATTGGCCCTAGCATGTGTATGTATGAATGTGAGTTAGGGTCTTTAGATTGTATGTTTTTTGAGGGTTAGGGAATAATGTGAATGTATACAGTAGGTAAAGCGCTGTGTAAATTGACGGCGCTATAAAAGTACCTGAAATAAATAAATAAGTTTGCCACTTGTAGTCTTGAGCCTGCATGACATGGTGACAACACTGGAGCACAATTGGGTAATAATAAAAATATGAAAAAAATTAAGAATGACAATTGTAAATGCGCATTGCTTTATTTGTACCAAAAGCAAAGTACTAGTGCACAGGTACATTATTATATACATACCTTGTTTTTCTCTTGATCTGTAAATTCATTGAAATATGGTTATATTTCAAATCTTTCTGTATATGGCCACCTTTACCATAGAAGAGACATAATGAGGTGGATTCACTAAGGACAAATAGACTGTGCACTTTGGAAGTACACTTGCACTCATTTTCCCCAGGGCATACTGAATGTGGCTTAGCTCTGCTGATTTCCATCATCCAATCATGTGCAAACAAAAATGCTGTTATTTTTTTAATTAATTTTTGTTTTCTTTGCACCTGATTGAGTCTTCCTTTTGTAATGCCCTCTAGTGTAAGATAGTGTTGTTTTTTTTTTTTTGTTTGTTTGTTTTTTTTGTACAGTTAGAGGCTTGCTATCAGCAAGGCTTCTTGAGGTTAAGGCTGAAGGTCTCTACAGGTCAGTTCTCTGATACCTCCCCCTGTTCTAGAAACTTGGAGAAGTTTCTAGTAGCCAGTAGGCGGGGTTGAGGAGGGGCTGATCTGCATAATTC